CAGTGTTCTCACATTACACATAAAGGAAAACTACCAAGTTCTCGAAAAGCCAGCCTATTCTCAAAAATTAAACTACTAAAGTACAAAGACTCGTCAGGACTTCGGCAATTCCGGATTTGGGATTTTTCTGGATATTAGATCATCAGTTTAACTCTAGTAAGATAGCATGTAAAAATTATAAAATTAAAAATATGAAATCGTGATTTATGAAATAATGAAGTATTTATGATCTAAAGGGTATCAAAATTCACAAAAAAAAGCTTAATATTTATTTGTTTATCTTATTAAGCATTTCTTTCAATGTAAATTGTTTAAGTTGCTTTGTTTTTTATGCTAATACTTTCTCTTTAATTCTGTAGACCAGCGTTTCTTAAACTTTTATCAGTTGTGACCCCTTTTTATCACTGAGATTTTTTCATGACCTACAGGACCCCATAATATTTACAAAAGTGTTGCGAGACTCCATAAGTATTGCACAAATCCGGCACATGCAGTTTGTCGAATTTGGTATACTATTTCAGTTTTAGGTCAGTAACTTTAATTTCTAATTTTAAGACATAGAACAATGTGAAAATTTTAAATAAGTAACAGACGAAAAGACAGCATCACATGCAAAGCAAGGAAAATGAACGTTTATATTATAAAAAGAATGCATCGAAACGTTTTCGCTTTTTTCTTTGTCTGTATTGTCTTATCTTTATTTATTTTCAGATACATTGTGTAAAAATATTTGGTAATTGTAAAATTATTAAAGAAGTATCAAAACTGCTAAAATTTTTGGCGACCCACAGCTTAAGAAACCCTGCTGTAGACAGACATAATCTCTTGTTCAGTTACGCTGTTGATGTCCTGTAACTGCTGTTTCGAGAATTCCGACTAACTTGTCAACCAAAATTTTCTCGTTTTCAGTAACTTCTCTGTCACTTTCTTCCCTATTGGTAGCAGTATTTTCTGGATCTAGAACCATACTACAGATTTTGCATTCATTAATTTATTGATGTTTGAGAAGCATTGTCATCACAATGAAAAACTTCTTTTATATCATCTTCATTTATTACTGCTTCTCCACATTTCTTTAGAAAAATCCGTTAATTGGAAAATTTCACTTTTGTTTTGCGATATGCAAAACCCTTTAAAATTAGTGTCTATCATCATCAAATTTAGCTATCCTTTACTATACAGTTTTGGCTATGCATCATGAGCTTGGCGACTAATGACAAGTTGTTCTGTTAAATTTTATCTTGCTTCTATTGTGCACTGAGACATTAAGCCTGAATTGTATTAGTTTAGTTTCTTATTATACTTATGTCTATTTCTTGCACATGTTTAAGGCTTATCAGAGTTCTGAATAAATAAATTTCCACATATACTTAAACCTTATTGAGGGCTGGTGCTCAATAAGGCTTAAATATATGTATTAAGTATCTTACCGCCTGATGCAGTTTCTGTGGGTCCTAAATTCTGCGACTCGGTGTGGCCATAAGAGCCCTGGCACTGGTTCTGGGTTTATGTGAATAACAAATCAGTTGATTCAGAAGTCAAACAACAAAAATCGGCGTTAATTCACAAAATTTTCACAGGACTAGTTTCGATGGTTTTACCGAACCATCATCTTCAGCTGCAAAACCGCAAATGAAAAAGATAGGAAATGATGTTTAGATAAGATAAGAAAGCCTGGACAAGAATAAGCAAGTGGCGCCATCTGTTGGCGAAACCAGAACTAAAACATAATTTCTCTAAAAGCCGAAGGCAAATTTGGATTGGAATTAGGATCGTTAACTAGAACAGAAAGATTTTTATGAATGTGAAATGCCTCTAGAAAATCCAGTTCTCCAATGGAAGATGTTTTTTGAATAATTTTGGCAGCAGAAAAATTGAAAGTGTGATTTTCGGACCAACAATGTTGAGCAACAGAAGACTTCTGTGTTTCCTTTTTTCTAACATATGCCTCATGTTCTTTGACGCGAAATTTTAAGGCTCTCTTAGTTTGGCCAATGTAAATTAAACCGCACTGGCAAGGAATCCTATAAATACCCCAGGAATTCATATCCAGAATGGGGTCCTTGAGTATAGAATTTGGAATTCCATCAATTAGCTATAAAGTTGCACATATTTTGCAGAAATTTAACTTTCGGGTTGTTTACTCTCCCATCAATAAAATTCCAACTTCTATACTCAAGGACCCCATTCCGGATATGAATTCCTGGGGTATTATAGGAGGATTCCTTGCCAGTGCGGTTTAATTTACATTGGCCAAACTAAGAGAGAGCCTTAAAATTTCGCGTCAAAGAACATGAGGCATATGTTAGAAAAAAGGAAACACAGAAGTCTTCTGTTGCTCAACATTGTTGGTCCGAAAATCACACTTTCAATTTTCTGCTGCCAAAATTATTCAAAAAAACATCTTCCATTGGAGAACTGGATTTTCTAGAGGCATTTCACATTCATAAAAATCTTTCTGTTCTAGTTAACGATCCTAATTCCAATCCAAATTTGCCTTCGGCTTTTAGAGAAATTATGTTTTAGTTCTGGTTTCGCCAACAGATGGCGCCACTTGCTTATTCTTGTCCAGGCTTTCTTATCTTATCTAAACATCATTTCCTATCTTTTTCATTTGCGGTTTTGCAGCTGAAGATGATGGTTCGGTAAAACCATCGAAACTAGTCCTGTGAAAATTTTGTGAATTAACGCTGATTTTTGTTGTTTGACTTCTGAATCAGTATTTATTCGGCGTGTTATTGTGTCTTAACAAATCAGTTATTCTTAATTCAAATAGCCCTAAATGTAATCTTTGGGTCTATGAGTATCATCTACAAAATGTAGTTTTAGCACATGGAAAGAAATTTTTGATATATTTTTCCTCATCAACATTTTTAGCGCATTTAACTCAAATCTGTAAACATCGTCAAGCGTAATGTCAACATAAAAGGTTACCATACTCCTTTACTATTCAATTACTAACAAAACAAAAAAAAAGTTTTAGGGATCGCTATACAAGTCATTACTCAAGTTGTCATGTTTTGATAAACATGCAGTGATGAAAGGAAAGTATAATAAATAATGATTCGCCAGGTTGGCGTCAGATCAACGATGTATTTATGTAGAATGTTTCGGTTAAGATGTGTGCCAAGCAGATATGCAGCAATGAAGCCAAATCACTGATCGTACAAATTTATGCTAAAATGATTGTTTCTTCAAGAATAAGGTATTTTATTTTGTGTCGAAGTGAAATTAAGAATCGGGACTCTACAGATGCTTTATTATCTGTAGGGGGGGATAAAATGCGTATGCGTAAAGGATACGAGAAGAACTTTGTTGGTGGTTTTGAGGTCTGGATTTTAGATAATTCCAGATAATGGAGATCTGGATTTCGGACTTTGTACTGTAATATACAATGGTCTTAGCTACTGCTTGGTAAATAACTGGTTACTGCTTTAAGGTCACCAAACAAGAATAGCTCTAATTCACATTTTCGAAAGTTGCAAGGAAAAAAAAAATAAGCAATGAAAAGGGTAGTCCAGAGCAAATAATCAATTTTATCAGAAAATTGAAAGAAAGCTAGTATATTGAACTGTAGCTGCAGTATTGTATAATATTAATCGCATGTTTGTGGGGTTCTAATTTTTTGTCTAACAGCTACATGTGTAGGAACCTCGAAGGCATGCTAAGAAGGCGGGAGAAATACCTTATATGTTCTCTCATTTAGAGGGCGACTAGGGATTAGGAGACTCAAACATTAAATCTTGGTGGTGGAGAATCATTATCCACCACCTGTTTTAGTTCGGGCGCTACTGTCGCTACTGTAAGTTATTTGGAAGCAGTATATGTGAAAAATGAGCAATGCCCTTGGCGAGACTCAAACCACGGACCTCTCGAATATGCGCCGAGTGTGCCAACCATTACACCACAAAGGCATGCTAAGAAGATGGGAGATATACTTTATATGTTAATAAGTACATATTTATGCTAGATCAAAATTTTTTAGTAATATTAAGAAATCATATAAATTATTTTAGTTTCTAATCTAAAAATTAATAAATTTACATACTAGTTTTTAATTGATTACTTTTATACTTCACTTATATAGCTATTCAAAAATTACTTTTTAAAGAAATATTTGTGTATAAAACTAAATTATTTTATCACTTACTAACAACTACGCATTTTATTGCCTACAATTCAAACTTTGATTGCTTTAAGCAAAAATATATTACTTTAAGTTCTGCAAGCACAAAACAGCAAAATAAAATAGTTAGATTAGATTTATGAAAAGCAGCAAATGACAAACAGAAAATACATTCTTTGCAAAAATTAATTTTTTGTCCAGGAATATAGAATAAATAACAAAATTTTCAAGCAGGAAAGGGGAAAAACAAAGTGTGATTTATAACTCTTCAAAAGAAGATTGAATGGTATATTATGGTACTGTAACACATTCTGTATTTAAAATTCAACAAGTTTATGTGCAACTATATCTATGAGCACATATAAAACTTCTCTTTTTTTTATTAACTAATAATTTAAACAAACTTGTGAGCTGTGAACAACATATGTAAACAATGAATTTTCTTCACTTTAATGGCGTTATCAAATCTTATGACTCATGGTGGAATAAGAGACTTTTCTGCAAAATGTGTTTCTTCAGACTTGTTTGAATGGGAGGTTTCTAGCTAAAAAAGTTGCATTCAATGATCTGTTGTGCATACGTAGCTCCAATATGTTATGATGCAAAGGAAAAAAATTGCACTTCTAGCTTTGTATTGCATAGAAGAGGAATCATTTTTCCCTTTGTACTTCTGGGAACAGCATGTTTTTTGAAAAGTTCCTTAGTTGCACATTGATAGATCTGGTAAAGAATATACATAACCACATGTGATACCTTTATGTACTGCATGCAGCATTATACATATTTCCACATTTCAAAATATTCCATCAGTTGCAATCACTACTTTCAAACAGCATAAAAATAAAACTAGATCGCATCTTCATTATTAGCTTACCTTTAGGTGGGAAATAGGATTTGCTTTCAGCTTTATGAGGCCAATCCACTACAAGAGGGCCAAAGCGTCGAAAACTTGCTGTTATTTCCTCTGTTAAAAATTGTATATATATGAGAAAAAGAGAGGCGATGTAAAATTCTTGTTTATATATATATATATATATATATATATATATATTCTCACACATAATAAGGTGATCCAAAAGGTGACAGAAAAGTAAAAAAATAATAATAATAATAAAAAAGTTATAGGCAGCAGCATGATGAGATTTTCACAGAAATGCACAAAATGAAATGGAATTCTTTTTAATGGTGAAAAATTTTTATTGCCAAGATAGTTACATTTTTTACCAACATGTGGCACACTTCATTTCTATCAAAAGTACAGTTTGCAACAGAGCTGAACTTTAGATTTTTAAAGTGACAGCTGTCATTCATGACAATGGTCATGAGACATGGCATGATATTCTGCCCAGCATCAAAGACAATTTCAACTGTAATTCCTTTTACATGTTGATGAATAACTTCTTTCATTATAGCCAGTAACATCAGCTGAGCTCTACACCTGCCACTTCAAACAGCTCAATAACAAAAATTCACTAGATCTAAGGTCTGGAGACCTAGATAGCCACTGGTGCGGGAAAGAGTTATTCAGGACACATTCACCATCAAATATGTAATAACTCAGAAATTGTTGGCAACAGATGTTGAAACATACTAAAAAAATTGCAGATGTGTCTGAATTAATAATATTCCTTTTGTATTTAGGTCAGCAATCCTACTTAATTATGCAACACAAAATAAAATCACTGCAAAAAGTGTGCTTATTCGAGTACAACTACATCAGCACCGATTATAATTTTGATACATAATCCTGAAAAGAGATGACACAGCAAGCCAGATATCAAGAAGCAGAAGCGAAAAATGGTGTCTTTCAAAATGGTAAACTAGTTCAAAAGGAGAAAGGTTTTAGTGTGAAATCTTCTCAATGGCTATTAAAAATTTCGATATCGTTTGATTAAACTTCAGTTTCCCACAAATAAAGGATGGAAAGGGGAAATATCTAAATTAAAATAGAGTTAAGGTACAATAGCAAATTACAGTTAGAATTTTGCTTTATATATTTTTATGTTATTTATATACTGATACATACAACAAATGTAACATTTTCAATCAGAAGTTGCCAGTTTGGGTTAAATATTATGCATATATACCCACTAACTAGTTTAAAATAAAATAATCATACTCTAACTAGTACAATTTTAGTGTATCTTTATCCCAAATCATGGATGCAAGACTTATAAAATTTGTAAAATATGTAAATTTGCAAAACTTTCAAAATTCATAAAATACCTTCATCAATATCAGGTGGAAGACCACCAACAAATACTTTGCGTGAATATCGTTCTCCAGTTTCAGAGTTTCTTGGAGCATTCGGGGACATATGAAGTGAGCTAAATGAAGTAACAATTTGATCTAATTGAACATCATCTAATAAATGATTGTCTTCAATGCCAGTAAAAAATGGAGATCTTCCTAATAAAATGAAACAAAGAGTTAAAAAAAAGGAGGTTATCATATGCAAGGTAAGGAAGAAGACTATTTCAAAATACAAGTGTTACAATGCTTGAATAACGTACCTCGCCGTCTTCCATAACTTCGAGCTGCGTGAAAAGGTAACAAAATTTAAGTCTTCAGATCATTCTAACGTACTATATAAATTTTTTAAACAAAGGATTGCATCATAAAGAAATGCAGAAAATATTGGTGCATCAATACAGGTTAATACTATGCAACACATACAAAGCAGTGATGAATTCTACATAAGCATATGACTATAAGAATAGCACTGAAATAAGTGCAAAGAGGTGATTATAGAAAGAATCAAGTAACATAGCTACTACTGCAAAATGTTAACTTATTTTCTAATATCATTAATGCAAGGAGGGGGGACTATGAAATATTCAAATCACTTACAAAGGCAATAAAAGAATGTAAAAAAGAACACTATACTATAAAAAATACAGTTGCGAGTTTGGAAAAAGCATTTTATGCAACAAATTCAGACTTAAACCAACGAGTATATTACATGGGCAAACATGAGTATTTGGCTAGTTTTAAGTGCAATAAGATACCCACATTAAAGGATAATTTGCAGAATTTTTTTGGTAATATATGATATAACTTCCTAGAGATATTACCGGGGGGGGGAACACTTAGCTGACTGGATATTTGGCCGACACGGACAGTTAGATGGCAAGACATTTAGCCCACACACACACATTTAACCAAGCGGACACTTAGCTGACATGGACATTTGGCCGACAGAACATTTAACCAGCATGTTCTTGTTGACTAAATGTCTCTGTCGGCTGACAGGACAGTCAGCCAATAGAAACACTTAGCCAACAAGACATACAGCTGACAGGATATTTAGTCAACATGACATTTTAGCGGACAGCATGCTTAGTTCACAACACATACATACAGTCCCTTCCCAAAAGTGACATTTTAGTAAAATTTGTACATATTTATCTGAAAAAAAAAAAAAAAAAAAAAGGCTGTCTCCAGGTTACCTGATGAGAAGATTTATGAATAAGTACCATATTTTTTAATGTTAAAGAAACTCTGGATTTTAAAATTAAACAGCAACTTTACTTTGGTGCAGATTTTGAAAATAATTTTGAAAGTAATGAAATATAAGTCTCTATATTTTGGTTTGTTTTATTTGATTATGAGAAAGCACTTGCTATCTGCCTAAGGGAAGGAATGCCTCTGTGGAGGAATTTGTAGGGAAAACTGATTCCTATAGATGTTATGCATAGGGGAAAGCTAAGAAAGCACCCATGCATGCAGCCAGCCTGTCTGTCAGGATTTGAATGCTGGACTTAACCAGAGTCTAGCAACTTTACGACTCGGTGGTTGGTGGACTCGATCTCCATATTTCAGAAGTGGGATAGAAAATTTAAGTAGTCAATAGTGTAGTAGTAGAGGTGAAACAATTTTATACAAAAAGAATGACTAGAGCAAGCAAAAACATATGTATCATGATCTATTGCAGAAAATAATAGTGAAAGATGAAAAAGGTAAGATAGAATTTTGAAAGCTAATTGAAAAACTAATAATATTTACTAAAGAAGAAATATTTTTGTTTATGTGAAAGGTTTTAAAGAAATCCAATTTCCATTACATTTCTTTTCACTTTGCTCATTCTTTCCATATAAAGTCGTTTCACTCTTCCAATTGCTGAAAGTTTCTTTCGTACTTTTGAAATAGAGACCTATGTCTGATTATTCTCAAAATTGATTTCAAAATCCATGCTAAAACAAGGTTGCTTTTGTGTTCAGTTTTAAAATTCATAGACTCGAACATTAAATTGGGTAAAAAATAAGGTACTTCTTGTTAGGTACCCTGAAAACAGCCTCCTTTTTTTCCAAATAAATATGAATTTATTTGGAATTGATTTATTTTTATTTAAATTTACTAAAACATTTTTGCATACTTTCTTGTCTATATGCACATGTTGTCAGTTAAATGTATTCTCGGTTAATTGTCCTGTCAGCTAAATGACTGTGTCAGTTAAATGTCCCTGTCGGCTAAATGTCAATGCCATATAAATGTCCTGTCAACTAACTGTCCATTTGGCTAAATGCACGCATCAGTTAAATGTCCTGTCGGCTAAGTGTCCACGACCTATTACCGGGTGACATGAAAGCAATATAAATTAAATGATTTCATATGAGCTAGAAAGTATGTTTCATGCAAATTAAAAAATTATGTATTTATTATTTCAGCATCTAATAAAATATGTGAAAAATAATTGTTACCAAATGGAATTCATAAGATAAAAGTGAACTGTACATTTTTTTACTAATTTTATTACTTACTACAAGGTACCTGTTTTACAAAAAGCTAAAAATGTTTTTTTTTTTTTAATCCTACATTTGATTGCAATCTGGATTTAATATAATTACATTATGCATTGATTTTTAAAATTGGTGCTTAGGCCATTAAAGAGTTAACTTATTAAACTAAGCAGTTTTTAAAGAGAAAGGTGCTTAAATCCACAAATACAGTTTTTTCTATCATGACTGTTTTGAAAGCTGAAATATTCTTAAAACTAAATTTAAGTACATTAGAAAGTACAGGAAAAGGGTTTACTGAAAATATCACAGGAAAGTACATAAAAGCATGCTTGCTAGATATACTGCAATTGAAGAGAGGGTATAAAAGATAAGCATGAGAAAGTAAAACAAACTGGATAAAGTGTAGAATGAAAGTACCCATGCAAAAATTTTTATGATGATAAAAAGCTGGTTTGATGCTAGCAAATTACCTCTGGGAAATTTCTTCGTGCCATTGTATTTCTGAGAAGCAAAATCCACAGAAGAACCTAAACAAAGAGTGTCTTGTAGCGTTTTTCTAGTTGTTAAGTTTTTTTTTAAAGGACTATTCCCTATAGTGTTTTTATGGTATGCAATAAAAAGGTGGAGATGACTGCATGGAGTTAAAAGTGGAGATCACACTGAATTATCAAACCAGAATATATGAATCTTAAGCTTCAAATGAATCTCAATAAATATTATTATTAAGCTTTGATAAAGTTTATGGCTTATATAACAACAATACACTTCTGCTTACAGATATATACTACAACATTTAAACTTTAGGTGATATAAAGGATAGGATTTTACATATTTTGACAAATACTTCCAAATACCCAAAATATCTAAAAAAACTAGGAAGAAATTAAAAAAAAAAAAAAAAACTTCTGTTGTCAAGTTTAAAACTTTATTCAGAAAACATATATTGCTGAAAACTGGGGGGAGAAGCAGTAGCGATAACAGAAATTTAAGCTTCAGCCAGCCAAATTCCATTGCTACAAGCAGAGAAAATAATATTTTTATTATAATTAAATCCTTTTTTTTTCAGGAAAAAGATATTTGTATTATAATTAAATCATACAAGAAATATTACATTTGAAGAAATGATAAACGTAGTTTAAATAGGGACATTTAAATACAAAAATTTTTTTTAAAAAACTTCTGAGCTTTTAGCCAGTCATATTTGCTCATGTTTTAGAAACTACTAAGCTAATATAAACCTACAGAAGTCATAAGGTTCAGATTGTGCAAAAAGAATTAATATTAAAACTATGCATATAATAACAGAAACACAATAATTCATAAAGAGGTGGGATTTTTTTTAATAGCAGCTATGGAACTTGGTGAATTTGCAAAAGGAATGAAAAATTAACACAAAACTTATTACTAACTCTTCTACTCTTTTTTCATTTTCCTTCAAAATTTTATTGCTTCTGAAAGCACAAAGAAACAACAAATGCCACAGCTATATTTTTATTGGTATAATATTTTAAACAGATATGGGTTTGGAGATAGAAAACATTCAATACAGGAAATGGAACCTAAAAATCATATCAAAAATGCATTTATCTACATAATGGAATAATTATTATTTGACTATGACAACTATGTGTGATTTAAACCTTTAAGCCTATAACAGAAAACGGTATAAAAAAAACCTACATTCAAATGATTCCTGTTTTTATGGATGTGATACTTTAAATAAGATTAGCTGATACAACTTACTACTATAATTCAGTAATTTTTATTAAAACTTCTTCCACTTAAATTACTATCTGCAGAGATATTCTTAATCACAGTACCATGTGCATAAAGGTGATATAAAATTCACACTCTTATGAACAATAATTAATGGTTTTAATAAATAATTTTTTGCTAATGGTAATTTGCATTTTACTGTTATGGTCTCAAGTTAAACATGGAAAGTAATAAACAGAAAGGTTTAGAAGAAATGAGTGAGTATAAAAGAAGTGAAAAAGGTATATCTTGATCCAAATTTCAAGTTTGTAAATAGTAGTAAAATTATATATTAAAATATTAATAACAAAATTTTGATATGCATTGGTAAATTAACTCAAAGTTGTAGATAAACAAAGCTCTTTCATGAGCCATAATTTGTCTTAATATTAATATTTCTGCAAAAATTCTGAATTTATGGATAAACAAATGCTAGTTGAATACTGACTGCTCATGAGCTCCAAATTACGGAGAACAGCATCAAAAATTGACTGCAACAGTGCAAAATTCACTGTTGTTAGATTCTACAGTAGGGGGGAAAAGTTCTTTGGAATAAAGAATGTTGCTACATGATCTAGCAGTTTGACAGATACATTTGAGTTTAGCAAATGCTTCATGTGCGAGTGTATTTTTTTGCCTTCTGCATTGCCAATGGGGCAGGCAATCTACAAATTGTTAGCAATAAGGGCCTGATGACATAACCAACAATACTTCCCTAACAAAATTGCATTTCTCTATGGCTGTGTTGGACCAACACCAAGTGTGCTAATGACTAAGTTCATGATTTCATTGTTCTATACTCGTGAGACATAAAGGACATGCATGGTGCTATATGTGAGTATAGTCCTTTTTTTTAATGAAATTTAATGTACAATGTAATAAAAGTACAAGAGTATTTTAGCCTCAATTACACTCATCCAAGAACCATACTTGATGTTCATAGTGCCAGTGCCAGCCTTATTAAGTTAGATCAAAATGGGAAGGGAGACGTGCATTGACGAACGTGAAATCTGAGAAATGTTAGAAGCTTTGGACACAGATTA